AGCCGATGGCGACGACGTCAGAGTTGGTCTTCTGCGAGGCACGGCGGACGGATGGACACCGATTGTCGGCGAGGGGGGGGGAAGCGACGATGCTGGCGTGATCGTGCGGTCTCGACCCCTGCTGCGATGCCGTCGCAGCTCGGTGACTGCGCCTGCCATTTTGATTGTTAGTATTGTTAGAGCCTTCATCCAACGGATAGCGGCAGAGAGTGGTGTGAAAGGGTGGTACTGTCTGCGTCATGGAAGATGGGATCCGGCTGATGGCCATGGTCCTCCGTGCGGCTGTCGCTGTGGGGGTTTGTGTTCAGAGTAGCTAGGGCGAGGGAGGGTGAGGGAGCGGTCGGCCAGTCGTATGCAAGTTGAGATGGCGATGGAAGGCGGGCATCAGCTTTGTTGAGTACACAGAGGGGGTTCATGGCAGCCAGCTCGCCGACGAGGGATCTGCGGTCGTCCGACTCGGGGGAGGTGAGGCCCATGGGATCGGGATCGTTCGTGGTTGGCTTTTTAGCGTTGGCCTTGGGGGCGTCGGACGGGTGGCTGAGGAGGCGATTGGAGGCCGAGGCGAGGGTGAGGCGGTAGATCGGGCTGGAGAGGATGTCCAGCATACTTGTGTGTGTGGGGGCCATGTGCTCGTTTGCTGGGAGCTGGCGCGGCATGTGCGGCTTGGGTGTGGCGATGGGAGGGGGGATGGCTGGTGTCCGACTGCGGCATGGATGTGGTGAGAGTGTGCGCGATCTGGCGACGACGAGTGTGTGGAAGGGTGATGGCATGTGCTCGCTGTCGTCGAGCAACCGGATGTCCCATTCGTCTGGGCGGAGCAGGACAGGGCTTTGTTGCTTCCGCTGTTAGCTTGATGGCGAGCTGGAACCGCAGCGCGCTCTTGAGGAAGGACGACGACGTTGCATCGACTGCCAGGGCGGTGGTGTCCAGGCTGCCGTGCGGCTGTGGTCGACGGAGCGTGGTCGGCTTGTTGTTTGCCCAGCCCATGAACGGCGGCGTGGCAGTCGGCATGCGCAACGCCTCGATGGCAGAGATCAGATTGCGGCCGCGGGGCGTGAGCCAGGGTGCGTGTGCGGGCGGCGGCGATGAGGACAACGGG